TATGGGTATCACATGTAACAGTGCTCACCTTTCTTTGTATGAGAACTAGCAAAACATCCTCACGATAAACTTAGATCCTAAATTTAGAGCTCAGACTTTTGGCATGGAGCGGTTTGTTTCTTAATTACCTGACGGTTATTGTAAATTAATCTTTTCTTTTAATTTCCTTTTAATTCTTTGTGATGGATTCCTTTACAAAGCTCACACAGTTATGCCCACATATTACTCCGCAATGCATTCTGCTTATTTACACATTTTCACTGGGATACAACCTTCAACAAGTTTAAGATAATATAAGATAAAATGTAGTTTATGTATCCCAAAATGTACCCAAAGTTGGATTTTTTAAAAATTTGTTACAGAAGCTAAATAGAAAGTATGGAGCTAAATAAAAATGAACCAAAATATGAAAAAAATAAGGTAAAATCTAATCTGAAAATCAAGATAAATTAAGTCAAAAATTTAAACAAATATATTACTAAAGCAGAATTATCTCACATTCAACAGAACAGCGAAACAATATTAAAATGGCTGAGTGTAGTAAAAACAGGGTACCAAATATTAGATAACATTAAAGTGGCTTAGCAAAATAGTGTATCATGCTATTATTTATTACTATTATTCTCTGTGAAGGTTCTCAGTCATCCAGGTCATCGTAGTCTAAGGAGCTTGGAAAGAAAAGCGTCTGGACTTCTTTGAGTTGCTTGAAGACGTTTCACCTCTCATCCGAGAAGCTTCTTCAGTTCTAAGTCTAAGTTGCTTTTCTTTCCAAGCTATTACTATTATTATTTGTATTTATAAAGCACCATATGACTATTGCTTGTTCTAAACAGTAGAAGCATTTTAAGAAAATATATAAAATATGTGGAAGGTTTTTCTTTCTGTGATTCATTCATTCATCATTTGAACCACTGTACAGCTTTCAGCTATAATCCAGCTTTTGTGTTTTTAGGTTTTAGCTGCCACATCAGTGTTAGCTAAAGTCTTTGTTAGTGGGGAAAATGACAGTTTACTTTTTATCTTCTACAACAAACTGCGCTATTTATACACCTAAATGCTTGCAGGGTCCATTTTTAACCCACTAAGATAAAAATAGAGCACAGAAGAGGCTCCTTTAATGCGACATGTTTCGCAATGTATCATGGGAAACATAGGAGGACGTTCCCAGTCGTGCTTCTGCTGCTGGTGTCAAATCTTGCTTCGTGTATGGGCTCTGTGCATGTAAAAGACAGCTGACACAGCGCCTAAACTCTCGCGAAATTGGCAACAAATCTGACCAAAATGCTGAGGCTTGGCTATTTCCGGGTCATGGAGAGGCCGTGGTGGACAGGACGAAAGGCGGAGTGATTACTAGAGAGGCTTTGCTGGCAAGTGAGTCACTATCCAGCTGTTGCTAATCACCTCAGTGCATGTCTGCAGAAGCTAACCGCAGCTAACTAGCTTGGTACTGCCCGACAGCCCCCCTTCCCCGGTCACATGAGACGAATTTGACCGAAGAGAGGATGGCGGAGCGGGATATGCCGCCGGGAGATCTTCCTCTGCGGTCTTCTCCAGAAAGTTCCGACAAACAAAACTCCTCCGATGAAAACGGACACACTGACAGCCCGGACGAAACTCTCTCCCCGACCTCAGTGATTTACTTCAAGGAGGCTTTAAACTCGTCCAACCTGCGCTTCGCAAAGGCTGGATCGCTGCCGCCCGCTCCCCTTCGACAGTATGACTTCCAGATTGAACGAATCGAATCGAGGCGACGAAGTAAGTGCTGACCAACTTCAAAAAGTACACCTTTCCCTGACAGCTAACACTAGCTTCCTAATACACTGAGAATACCAACTGTAACGCTGCAGTTTGTGCTGCTAGCATTGTTGGCTAACTTTCCAGCGTCCGTAAACAAACACCTTGCTGACACATGAACTCAGTAAAGTACCAGGAGTTATCGGAGCTAAAGCTGGGGAGAGGATAAGCTACATCACATGATTGTTGACTCTCAGCCTCAGATTTCTGTCTGCAAAGTAAAAGCCGCTGTGTGTTCTTCTGTGTTGTTTCTCGGCTAATGTGTCAACATGTGTCATGTGTTTTGACAGGCTTGGTTGACTCACCTTGCTGCTGGTTATTATTGTTGTATAGATTTATCATTTATCTGATTTGGAGCTGCAGAAAGTGACCTCCTGGCTCCTTTCCTAACCACTTGAAAAAAAAGTAGAATTCCTAAGGAGTTTTTAAGGAAAATAAGATCGCTCAGAGAATCCAGCTGCCCTCACACCAGGCTGTTTAATACTGTGACAGTGAGTGTTGTTTACATGGGTCTGCTGTGTTGAAACTATGCCTCAAAGATGTACTGCAGATGGCTCATCTTTGATACCTCCTCTAGTGTCTTTGTGTCGTCTTTCATGCAATTAATACAGAAGAAAACTATCACTTCCTTCCCAATGTCCGAATTAAATAATAAAAAGGATGAAAACTTTCCAAATCCTTCCATCCAACTTCTGATACTTATCTGGGTCTGGGTCACGGGTGCAGTAGCCTTCTTTCTCCCCAGCAACCTCCTTTAGCTGTTCTGGGGGGCACTGAGACATCCCCAAGCTAAATGAGAGACATAATCTCTCCATTATCCCCCTTGGTCGCCTCTCAGTGGGACGTGCCTCAACTTTGAACCTTTTCTGAATGACCAAGCTCCTAACCCCGTCTCTAAGGGAGAGCTAAGGCACCTTTTCAATCGCTATCTAAAGCTGGTGGTTATAGGTCAGGGGGGGATGTAGCTCTACCAGTGAATTCACAGCTACGCTTTCACGTTCATATCCACAACACTGGTGATGTTGCATCAGTCCATCTTTCAACGTCCTGCTTTGTTCCTCCCTCACTCATTAACAAGACGATCGAGATATTTGAGCTCCTCCACTGGAAGGTACATCCCATCCCCAACCCGGAGTCGGTATTCCACTCTTTGGTTCTCTGTACTGTTAATATTTATTAACATGATGAGCATCACTTAAGGCTCATGTTGATGATTTAATTTTGTGTGCTGTGGTGAGCTTCTGGGTGGTGTTGTGTACTTTCCTTTCATAAAGGGATTGTCCAGTGTGTCCTGTGTCCTCTGTTAAAGGAGGTAATAAAGGAAGCATTCAGACACCTTTCTTTAGTATTTACAGGAACTCTTAAAAGGAGTGGATGTATGTCTTATAGCTCTTATTCTGGCTGCAGATACTTTAGGGTCACTTAATTCAGTTAGAAACCTTCCTGAGGTATTGAGTCTTTGACTGATCCTGTCGTTGGTCGTGACAGAGTTAACCTGTTGTTAAAATACCTGTTTGCTTTCACATCTTCATTCTCTATCAGCACACAGGTCTCTGTGGCATTTAAGATATATAGATCCTTTTTACTTTTAGTTTCCAAAGCTCTTGCAGAGAGACCTTAAATAAATGAAGGCAATAGGTCAGTAATGTCTGTCCATAACGTTACAGTATAAAACTTGAGTAGCATCCTATTCTTAATTCATAGGCTTTAATACTATGTTGGCCCACCCTTTGCAGCTATAAAAGCTGGAACTCTTCTAAGGTTTTCCACAAGGTTTAGGAGTGTTTATGGGGATTTTTGATGGTGGTCTCACAGTCTCCCCTCTAATTCATCCCAAAGGTGTCCTATCAGGTTGAGGTCAGGACTCAGTGCAGGCCAGTCAAGTTCTTCTACACCAAACTCTCTCATTCATGTCTTTGTGGACCTTGCATTGTGCAGTGGTGTGCATTCATGCTGGAACAGGAAAGGGCGTTCCCCAAACTGTTCCCAAAATGCAGAGAGCATGAAGTTTTCCTAAATGTCTCGGTATGCTGAAGCGCTAAGAGTTCCTTTGGGCCAAGTCCAGCTTCTGAAAAACAGCCCCCGGCATAATCATAGAAACACCTCTAAACTTTACACTTGGCCCATTACAGTCAGACAAGTACCACTTTCCTGGCAACCACCAAACCCAGACTCATCCATCGCAATGCCAGACGGAGAAGTGTGATTCACCACTCCAGAGAAAATGTGCCCAATCCACTAGAGTCTAGTAGTATCCTTTATACCACTGCATCTTATATCACTCGGTGATATAAGGCTTGGATGCAGCTGCTCAGGGATGTAAACACATTCCACGAAGCTCTGTGTGCACTGCTCTTGATCTAATCTGAAGAAACGTGAAGTTTGAGGTCCTACCGATTAACTCTGGAGAAAGTTGGCGACCTCTGTGCACTATGTGCCTTAGCATCTTTAAGCTGCCCCCAAAATACCAATGCAACATGGTAGAGAGGTTCAGTTTGGTTACGCTGTAGTCACCTGTGATCAGATGGCTGTCAATCGAAGTAGAAAGCGTATAAAATAATCGTCCCCATAAAGTTGTTACAATATGGAAACTAAGCTGTTTACTGTACATGCTATAAACATGTTTGTTTCTGCTGTAAAACTGGAGGTTTTAACACATCTGTGAGGATTGACTCACTTTTCTAACCTCATGTGAACATTAGAGCAACTGCAGTTTTTGACTATGTATCATACTGAACACATGGTGTTATTTTCTAAGAGAAAACAGAGGTTCGTTTCAGACAAACAAAGCAATCGATTAAAAAAAAAAAAGTGAAAACTTTCTCAATTAAATTTGTCACATTTATTTTTGTTGTCCTCTGATGGCACGGAGTGTCATCCTCTAAAGATGATCTGATTGTCAATATCCAGCTCTATGTTTAAGGTGTTAGGCCCAGGGAAGCTGTACCAAAATGGGTGGGGGATTTAAAAAATAGATGGCCCCCGCTTACATCTGGGACCTTTGGCCTTATTGCCCTTCATGCTCACTGCTGCTGCTGTTTTTCTGCTGCAGCCAGCTGACAGGCCTGTGTTCGAGACTGGGAGGAGGGGGGATGTTGTTGATGCTTCAGAGAGACACAGGCCCTCTGCTGCATCATTAGCCTTGGTTGGTTACTCCGGGGACCCCCCTCCCCCCCTTATTTTAGCTTCTTTTTTTTTTACGCATGCACCATCTGCTCACGTGACAATGTGTTGCTGTACCCAGCGCTGCCGTCAGCCATCTTGGTCAACACCCACCCAGTGCATTCACTGCGGTGCGCAGGCAGTCCAATCACAGAGAACCGGTGCTAAGCTGACCGGAGGAGGGCTGTGATTTTTCAGCACGGTGCTCTCTGTTGCATTTTAAATCCCCAGTCGGCACAAAAGGCGATAACAAGAGGCTGAAGAGGAGGAGGCGGTGGAGGAGTAGAAGGCACAGACAGCAGCCTGTTTCACTCAGTTGTAGCAAGGAGGAGAGGAGGATGCATGCATAAAGAGGAGGAGCACCCTTTCTAACACCTGCTGAAGGCTGCTGTGGGCCTTTCCCGTCTTGTCCTTTTTGTTTCTTCCTCTGAATCTCTTTTCATCTTTCATCCTCTTGTTTTTCTGGCCTTCTCTGGCTGTTGGAACGCAAAGCTCCTGCATCTTTTGTACCTCCCCCCTCCCTTTTCCCCTTCGGTGGTGTTGGTTTTGCCTCGCACAAGCTGAGTCATCATGTCTGATCTGACGCCTCAGAGCGAAACCCCGACTCCCACCACAGACAAGATCACCCAGGCTGCCAGGGAGACCATTTATCTGTGCAACTTTCGCGTCTCTGTCGATGGCGAGTGGCTGTGCCTCCGCGAGCTCAACGACATCTCGCTCACGCCAGACCCCGAGCCGGTCCATGAAGGTAACGTGACAGATTAGCTCAGCGTTTGAGGAAGTGTTTGTGAGCACAGTGCGATATGTGTTAGGGCGTGGTGGTGTGCATCGCGGACACCAGAAGCAACATATTTCACCTGGTGAACGGTGTGAGCTGTGTCACGACGGGTTTGATTTCATTGAGGGTTACGCAGCAGGATGACGCCACTTATAAATAAGCCAGGGGCGGACAACAAAGCAGCCAGGTCCTGCTGGGAGGCTTCAAGTACTTGGTAGCTGTTGCTCCTTACAGAAGATCCCAGTTGCACAGAACAAACATGTTTGTGTGCTGATGATTTTCATTTAGTTTCTCCCACTGACAAAGCGGAGTGCAGCCAATTATAGATTTGGCAGCAAACACAAGCCTGACTGTAAACAGATATCTATAACTGTGTGCTCTGTTTTTATTGTTTTAAAACTGCCACACCTACTCTCAGCACGAGCAGGCCAGCTGGCAGGCACTCGTAGGCAGTTCAGTTGGCAAATGAAGCGCTGCAGCTTTCAGCCTACACCGCTGAAGAGTCCACTTTAATGACATTACAGAAGCCCATTAACAGACAACAGAAACATCTGCTTTAGGCTTTAGTTCTCTCTCCTCTTCACTCACTTTGCAAAGGTTTCTGAGGTTCTTGTTATTGATAACGACAACATGCACAAGTTTGTTGCTTAAATCTATCATAGCACTGGTAGTGTCAAACCTTTTTATGGGAGACGTGGCAGTATTTATTTTAATGTTCATACAGTTTATCCACATGGCTTAATTTAATCATTTCCATCCTGTTGAACATTTTCTCAAACAGACTGATTCAGATCCACAGGGACAGATACAGGACATCTTATATTTTAAACATATGCACATAATATTTTTTATTGTATAATAACTGTTCATGATATGTTTATTATTATTATTATTATTATTATTATTATTATTATTATTATTATTATAGACTGTGTAAAAAGATGGATGTAGCCAGCGTGACGTCACATATTGGTTGGCGAGATCCTGCCATGTGATTCCACCACCGCTCTTGGTGGTTTTAAAAACTGGAGGTAACAAGTGAGGGCTGGATCTGAAGCTGAGGGACACTGCACACTTATCAGCTCTGCTTTAGCCACCTTTTTAAGTCTTCATTGTAACATTAAAACAAATGAACTTCATGTTGTATTTACTAAGACCTGAAACTTGTGATATATCCCATAAGGTTGTTAGAGAAAGAAAGATAAAGGAAGGTTGTTTTCCTACAGACACGTACAGAGTCAACGACCTTATTACAGCCGCTGGTATCGCCCCCTGCTGGCTGCATTAGGAAGAATGCAGCTTTAAGGAGCTAAAGCGTCGGCGTCACTTTTCAGAGGTGGAAGCTTATGGATCTGTAGTTTCCACTGAAAGCGTTATAAAAGATGGACACTTTCTTCTTCTTCTTTTTTTAAACAATTCAGATTGACACATGGGGGGAAAAAACCCAACGATAAATGACAAAGCTTGGCTCTTTGTTTCTGTCGCTGCAAAGGAAAACACCAGATAGAGATGGTGGAGAAAATGGTTTTAATCAAGCAGACCAGTAACTGCTATAAAATACCCAGATAAGCCGCCGTCCTCCTGAACCAGCTCAGTATTTCTCAGGGTCTCGTTGTTTAGTTGCCTCAATTTTTTTCCCAGTTTTCTACAATTTTCTATTTTACTTTCAGCATTAACATTATAATACAAATTTATACAGTTTAATACCAGCATGCTGAGGATCTCTGCTAATTTGTTTACATTTTGCGTTAGAGAATAAGATGAACATGCTAATGTAAACTTTAAATGTGTAACTGTATTAATAATGTAAACAAATCTGCAGGGCAGCATAGAGCACCTCCACTAAAAACCTCTCTGTGTTAAATGCTGACATAAATAATAGATCAGGCGTGCAGAACGAGTGGACTGTATTAAACTTTCACATTCTCTTAATTGAGACTATTTCTCTGGCAGACACATTTTATAGTTTTATATTAAAACTGTATATAATCTTCAGATTTACAAGGTTTTTCACAGTAAGTCCTGGAGTTTGTCTTCTTTTAGCTATTTGTAATGATTGTCTTTGTTGTCTTGCTGTGTATTCTTTATTTCACCTTCCTGGAAACTGACTTTTTTAAAATTTCTGTTTAAGAAATACAGAGCTGACTTTCAAACGAGTTTAGTTCCTGATTTATTTGTGCTGTTAAATTCTGAAGGTGAGAATTATAAGTCTGTTTCCTTTTCTCCGTCTTTTAGATCCCAAGGATCCCATCGCAATCGAGAGGCTTAACTTGATGAACATGGCCAAACTGAGCATCAAGGGCCTGATCGAGTCTGCGCTCAACCTGGGACGCACGCTTGACTCTGACTATGCACCGCTGCAGCAGTTCTTTGTCGTGATGGAGCACTGTCTGAAACACGGGCTGAAAAGTAAAAACTGCATTCGTGTTGTCTTTTATAACTCCTTACAGTTTTTGACAGTGAGATGGGAGAGATTAAAATGTACAGCTGACATAGCTGTAAGGAATATTTAGTCTTAAACTCCTGCTTTAGTTTCCTTTTAACTGTATTGAGGCCAGTGTGTTTTTGCTCTTTCTGTATGCACGCTCTCAGTCTGTCCGTCTCATCGTTGTCTGTCAATCTTCAGCTAAGAAGACCTTCCTGGGGCAGAACAAGTCCTTCTGGGGACCATTGGAGTTGGTTGAGAAGCTGACGCCTGAGGCAGGAGAGATCACTGCCAGCGTAAAAGACCTGCCCGGGCTCAAGTGAGTTTGTTCAAAGTTTCCTACAAAAAAAGGCTCTTCTGCTTGGATTTTAATTATGTCATCTGAGCTTTAAACAATGCCAGAACGTGGCTGGAGCTTCTTTTCTAGCTGCTTTAATCTTGTAAAGGCTGTTAGTGTGTGCAAATCTCACTCTTCCCATGTTTGATACCAGAACTCCTCTAGGAAGAGGACGCGCCTGGTTACGACTGGCCTTAATGCAGAAGAAGCTCTCAGACTATATGAAGACCATCATCAACAGAAAGGACCTGCTCAGGTGTGTTTGGATCGTAATATTCACAGAGGCGAAGACTTTATGTGAACAGATGAATGTGGTGTCTCTTGTTGACCACTGCAGCCACAACATCTATCAGTTGGCAGTACAGTCATTAATTATAACAAATGATTATAGTTTATCAGGTAATTGCATTAAACTTCTCCAGAAGGCAAAAACACCACAAATATGAAGGAAGGGTTCAGTTCACTTAGCAGATGAGGAGGCAAGCAGGCAGCTTGCAGCACAGTCTTCATTCACCTGTATGTTTAAGCTGCCACACTCCTGATAATGCACAACTTTAACCTTTAATAACGAAGCAAACCTGGTTGCTTAGAGCAGTTATCACCTCGATCAAAGCTGGCTGTGGTCAAACTCAGTCACGGACAGACAGGTGTTGAGGCCCAGACAGCAGCTTGTATTACTGGCTGTGCTGTTTTATGTAAACGCTACTACATAAATCTACATGTAGATTCTGTCTTCTTAGTTTCCCTCCAATGTCACCATTATAATCCCGTGTTCAGTTTACCGTCTGGTCAGTTGGCTCGGGAGGATGAGAGTCCGGCTCCAGAATGGTGGGTCAGGAGTTTGCGGTGCACTCGCTGCACATCTTATATCAGCCAGTGGAGCAGTCAGATAGTTCACCTGACCCTGAAATAATAGCAGCTGGTCAAAGTCTTTTTTTAAGAAGGATGCTTCAGTGCTTCCTTCATATGATCTCCTATCCAGAGGATGCAGTGAAGCATCCTTTATGAAAGGAGACAATGTTGTCCCACAGCTCATACCACACTCTGTCTGCATGACATGGATCATGTAAATCCTCATTTTAGTGCATTCATTATTTTTATGCCATTTGTTAAAGGTTTTGAATTTTCAACAACAAGCTTTTGAACCTGCAGGTTCAACTTTGAACTTTACACTGTGGTAAAAAAATCAGCGTCCTATCAAGGTGTTTTATCTTAATGAGCTCCCTAAATCCAGATTGCGAGCTGTTTTAATCAAAGTGTGTTTAAGGTGTGTAATCAGTCAGTTTGTATTAGTAATGCCTGTTCTTGGACTTTGGCATCAGCTGGGCCTGGTTCCATCCCTCAGCCCCTGACCCCACCGTGTAGCCTGTCTCAAGTGGCCATCTGAGGATCTGCAGTTTTTGTTTTGGATTGGGGTTTTTTGTTTGTTTTTGGCTCCGGTAGTATTTTATACAAACCTAAAACCCTTCCGCCTGACGTTGTAGCCCTTTCTGTCTCTTCTCTGTAGTGAATTTTACGAGCCAAACGCGTTGATGATGGAGGAGGAAGGCGCCGTCATCGCCGGGCTTCTGGTTGGATTAAATGTCATCGATGCCAATCTGTGTATGAAGGGAGAGGACTTGGACTCGCAGGTTAGTCTGCTTTCACCTTCACCTCTAACTCCACTTAGAGCAGCTCAAACTAAATGAGAAGTAAGGCAGAGGAAAAGTCATCACACTCCCTGGTGTGGCATCGTTTTCTCTCAGCCCATGTAGAACAAGCACGTCAAATTCAGTTTCACTGATCGCATCAAAGGCCAGACATGGACTTTATGACATGTGTAAAATAGCTTGTTATTTTCTGCAATAACGCCAACAACCTGACATGATACAAGTGCATGTTAAAGGGAAATAATCCATCATTTTATTTGTAAATGTCTAAAGTGGCCTCTTTCAACGATTGAAGCATGTGGTGTGTACTGGCTAGAAAGAGTAAACGAATAAATGTTTGGGAGATCTGTTTATGTTTTCATTTTTCTGAAAGACAAAAAATGTTCCATGCATTAGAATATCATTTTAAAATCACCAAATACCTGTATGGTATCGGTCTTAAAAATCTGGTCTGTGTCGGCCGGGTTTGGTCCAGATTTGGCAGATGTGGTGCAGACAGTGTCTACACTGTGGTGTGGTTATTTAGAATTATTGAATGAAGTTTGTTTGGCATTCAAATTTTGGCCAGATGGCATTTATATGTCTGTATATTTGAACTCTCACTAATGAGTTTCGTTTTTTCCCTACAGTCAGTATTTTCCCTTAAAAATGCCAACAAAAGCCTTTCGTTAAACCAGGCGTGGGGAACTCCAGGTCTCCTGCAGGTTTTAGATCTCACCCTGGGTCAACACGCCTGAATCAAATGATTAGTTCATATCCAGGCCTCTGGAGAACTTCAAGACATGTTGAGGAGGTCATTTAGCCATTTAAATCAGCTGTGATGGATCAAGGACACATCTAAAACCTGCAGGACACCGGCCCTCGAGGCCTGGAGTTGCCCACCCTGAGTTAAACCATCTGTTCAGATCATTTAAATATGAAGTACAGCGATGTTTCCTTTACACAGCAGCAGCACAACTGAATTAAGAGCAATGTAAAGGGGCTCCGTGTTTTGGGCTCTGAGGCCTGTGTCCCCGCTCTGCTTCATAAACATTAAAATGTTGAGCAGTGCAGCTTCAGGTTGTTCTTGTTTCAGCAGCTCACAGCTTGTCAGTCAGGATGTTCAGCTCTCAGGTTGGGAGTCCAGAGTGACTGTGAGGAATGCTGCAGCTCTTTGTTCATATCCGCCTGAGCTTGGAGACTAAAATATTTCAGCCTGCAGACTCTACACACATACTTTGAATTGTTTTACATACGAGGATGGCTCCTGTCATTTGTTTTTTGCCTTTTTCTTAAAACATCTGCAGGTTGGGGTGATCGATTTCTCCATGTACCTAAAAGACGGTGGACACAGCAGCAAGAGCGTGGAGGGGTGAGTCCTGGCTCCTCTAGTCCCATCAGCAGTAGCTGTGGGCCTGTAATCGGAGCGTGTGTTTTGTTTTTGCTTCACTCCTACCTCTGTCGACTGACAGCCATTTGTCTTGAACTTAATTAACAGAAAGTCTTCTTTTATTTGGACGGCTGGATTGAGCCCCAGACTTCGGACCATATTTTTCCAATGTCCTTTTCCTTTAAACTTGAATATTGAAAAAGATTTCCGTTCCATGCCTGAAACACATTTCAGCCTCAACAGTTTAAAAGTACTGCACTAGAATGAGATTTTCTGTCAGATTTCTATTGTTTTGTTTGTGTTGCTGTGTGTTTGTGTGCCTGACGGCTAACTGCACGTTTCTCTTTGTGCGTTTTCAGGGACGGTCAGATCACAGCGATTCTCGATCAGAAGAACTACGTGGAGGAGCTGAACAGACATTTAAGGTTTGTCGGGGTGGTACGCTCACTTTGCTCTCCTCACCTTGGCGAGCTCGGTGACTCACCTGCTTTCTGCCTGTTTACAGCGCGTCGGTAAATAACCTGCAGGCCAAAGTGGACGCTCTGGAAAAGTCCAACACGAAGCTGACAGAAGAGGCGAGTCTCACAGTGATCATCTTCAAAAACTGTCTTTAAATGTCAGCCTTACATGTTTTTAGCCCGGCTGCAGGGACTTCCTGTTTACCAAGCTGCTTTGTTGATTTCTGTCCTTGCAGCTCGCAGTGGCGAATAACAGGATCATCACTTTACAAGAAGACGTGGAGAGAGTAAAGGAGGAGAGCTCGTATCAGCTGGAGTCCAGAAAGGTGAACGCTGCTTATCTGCCAGTTTATGCAGCAGCTGACTCGAGCATTTGGAAATTTGTAGTAAAAGCAAGCGTTCCTTTTTTCTTCAGGCATTAAGAAGTGATTCAGCAGCAGACGGACAAGCGCTGGGGGAAACACGCAAGCAGCTCAAAGAGGAAACTTTGCTTCGACTGGTGCGTTTCAGCTGTTTGACAGTCTTTGTGTAGCTTTAAGTCTGCTGAGGCGTTGATACCAGCGAGAGATTATACATGTAGCCGTGTCATCTGCTGACAAAGTTTGTAGTTAATAGTAACAAATGTGCTTGGCCTGTTTAGTGTGTTCATTTTTAGCTGCCATTTACACAGAAATACAACAAAGCTTATGTGGAGAAAGACAGTCAGCCCAGTCCAAATTCAGTCCATTTAGAGTTTAATTATGACATTCCTGCTTATATTTTTCTAACTGACAAAGTCTGACTTGTGTGCAGGATGTGGAGAAGGAGCTGGAGGTGCAGATCGGGATGAAGCAGGAGATGGAGCTGTCCATGAAGATGCTGGAGAAAGACGTCTGTGAGAAGCAGGACGCTCTGGTGGAGCTCAGACAGCAGCTGGAAGACCTTCGTGCCATCAACCAACAGCTAATGCACAAGTCACAGGTGAGGCGGTGCTTCTCATGTCTGATTATGAGGACACTGCTTTTAAAAGGCTCACATCCACTTTTGTCTCTCAGGGCTTCACTCGTAGATTTCAGCTTTTCCCAGAAACTTGTAGGTGTTTAATTTCACTATTAGCTCTCTGTGAAATGATAAAGCATCACTTCCTGTCTAGAATAACTTGCAGTCAGCAGTAGATACTGACTGACAGTAAGAACTTGGCTTTTTTTTTTTTCAGTTAAGGCAGAAAAGAGGAGGCCACTTCAATGAGAAAGTTCAAAGGTCTGCTTAACTGTAAGAAGACTGAAACTGTTCCACAAAGCAAGAATAAAATGGACGATAGCAATTAGTTTACTGGAAAACATTAGGCGGAAAAGGTTTTCAATCTGGCCTCAGATTAAAAGGTGCACAGGTGATCTTCACTTGTGCTCTGAGTTTAGTCTCTTAATTTGGATTTCTTGCCGTCTTATCAACTAGGGATGGTCGCATTTATCAGATATTTCATCCGTCCACCTGTCCTTCCTTTTTCGGACCCCTATCCTGGTCTTCACAGCCGCCTAATCCCAATCCTCCACCTGCTGTTCTAGGGATGACGAGCAGGTGGAGGATTAGATCCCAAAAATATCTTTTCACACAAATCTGAGTGTATATGAAGGAAAGACATCAGTTGACTAGTTTGGATCATCTTCTGCAGAGTGCCGATGCCAGCTCGAAACAGAAGAGTGAGATCATCGTTCGCATGGAGGAGAAAATGAACCAGATGTCAGGGACCATAAAACAGCTGGAGACCAGGTGAGGCTAGTTTATTATTACAGCACGATATGCATTTGGTGCTTCCAGATGACATGTCTTATGTTCATGGATGCATTTTCTCTCTCTTCACTTTCTTTTTCTTTAATTTTTTCCATCATTTGTTCGTCTGTTGTTTTGAAAAAAAATCAGTGACAAACATTTGGCGAAGCAGGCCCGGAGCCTGAACTCTGCAGCGGGGAAGCTGCTGCAGCTGCAGCAGTAGCTGCCTGCTTTCACGAGTCTGAAAACAAACATACAACCCTGCCTAATATAGAAATAACCAAACTAGGATGTTATCTTTTCTGTACGATGCTCCTTTGTTGTTACAAAATAAAAACCATCTTCTTACAACCTCCTGCAGCGGCGCTCCAGCATCAGCTTTTAGTGTGGACTGAATGGATCCTTTAGCAGCCCCTTAATCCTCGTGTTTTCTGCCAGATGTGTTCGCCGCATCAGATTTCTACTTCAGATTTCCGTTTCTAAAAACTGCCCCGGTAATGCTTTAGTCAGACATAAGATGAGTAGAGGTGCCTGATGGACTGATGTGCCAATAAACCCATGCTGAATACTTGACAGTTGCTGTAATGTGAGTCGTCCTCAAACCTGAGGCTGTCAGATATTCTCAACCGACAGAGAGAAGTGGCGTGTGGCGCCAGATATCAGAGGGGTTTGTTGAAGTCGAACGTCCAGCGCAGAAGAAGGAAGGGGCAAAATTAATGAATAATTTAAAATTGTATGTGAACATAAGTTTGGTGTCAACTGTAGTAATCATTAGGCTAATAAAACGCTAAACAAACAGAGTCTGCTTCATGGTCTTTGGTCACAGTGTCCCAGGTTGCTCTTACATTTTAGTTTGAGTTGATCTCTCTTCCCAGCCACGTTTCCCTTCATCACATTTTTATTTTTCCATGAGTTTATGTTAACCCGCTCACCCCAAACCAGATGCAAGCAGGCGGAGAAGGAGAGGGACCTGGCTTTAGAGGCGAACCGGCTCTTCAAGCAGGACTTTGGAGACAAAATCGAGAGTCTGCAGGTGGAGGTGGAGCAGCTGAGGAAGCAAAGGTAAAGTCTGGCGCCTCACTACTCCTGCTCCATCTGAAACACTGAGATGACCAAAACAAAGAGGAAGAGGACAAATCGCTTCCTTATTACTGAAACAGATTCTGAAGTACGATTTCACTACCTCATCTACACGAGGCGTTTTGTAGAAGCTGTGAGCCGTGGCAGTTGGCAAATCCACATTTTGAATTTATGCTGAAAATGAACTTTTTTTTTCTTAATGTGGCCCTAATACTCCTTTCTATTTTATCAGTCTTTCTTTGTTAAACCAGTCAGACTCTAACTGTGGTCTCAGTGCTCTCATTGAGATCTTTTAAAATTTCATCACAGCGCATTTGTAACCATAGAAACGTACAAATACTAACGATCTGTAGCCCATCAAACCACATCGATACAGAGAGTGGTTTCTACAAGTTTTGAGTAGCGACGTTTCACACAGATTTCAGTTACACAGGACGTATAACATGCAGGTTCTACCTGACGAAGGGACAAACACCGGTCAGAGGCCTGGCAGGAAACTGCTGGATGCACGGCTGTTAATCAAAGCTGCCTGCTTATTTCTACTGTAACATTGGGCGTTCCTACCTCTTGGAGGTTCCCCTTTACCATAAACGTTGTTCCTTTTTCTGCTCCAGATATGTTTATTAATTACTGTCGTCACTGAACTATACGTTTCTATTCTTTGGCTTATTTTGCTGTTTCAGGTCTAATCTGGAGCGTGAGCTGAGAAAAGGTCGCGATCGAAAGAGCGAGCATCACCTCAGTGCCTCCTCGGTACCTCAGTCCAGCACTCCGCGGACCAACAGGAGACAACCAGAGGATGTACCAACAGTACGTGGATTCTCACATTAACGATATGTCCGACGAACAGCTGTCAGCTGTGGTTTGGTGGCTTATGACTGTGTTCTTAACAGCAACTCCCAGAATCCCCGTCAGTGAAGGAGAAAGACCAGTTCCAGAGTGGCCCGGAGGACAATACCAGCCTGTAGGTATCGCAGAGTTTCAGAAAATAAAGTGACATTTATGGAAAAATAATTCACTTTTTTATGTCCCGTCTTTAACTTTGAAGGTCCCTGTCCCACCACGAGGATGAGCAGGTGAGATTTGACTTTTTACCTGTGTGAAAGTTTGGCCTTTTAATAAGTGGATGCTGAAGCAGTCAGCATGTACTGATGGCAGTGTGCCTTTGCACTGTTCAGAGACTCATGCATTTATTTCTTTTTGTTGTTCTTCCTCAGGAGTCGTTCTTGGAGATCAGCGAGCCTTCCATGTGTACGATGTGTGAGCAGGCCGACTCCCTCCTCAAGACAAAGGTACAAATTACTGAGGATCATTTTGAACTTGAGTTATCAAGAATATTTTTCTGTTTGGCATTGAAAGTTTACAGCTTCTTTAAATAGTTGACTCCTGTTTTTCTTGGGTTGAACTTCCTAAAGCTGTTACGGCTGTTCCAAAACTTATTTTCTGTATCAAAAAAAATATCAAACATATGCAAATAGTCTGGTTCAAATCCTGATTGTGGGGGATCCATTCCCATTTCATCCGTCTACAGGCTGACCACAGGAGGTAGAACTCCTCTTGTCCCCACACTTTTTAAGGACTGCCCACATCAAAGATCAGCATGATCATCTCAAAGGGCAAAGTGATTATTAAGACTCACAGATAGTCAGTCAGCATTTTGGATCAGTGGTCAGTAAACTGCCCCGATCTCAGACCAATCAATGATCTATGGTCAGGCTTTAGAAGGCTGAAGCAGAGTCTTTGATTGGCCGGTTCTGGCCCTCAGGGTGTGTGCTGAATGGAGAGCTAACGTGGACTGCACCAAAGATGCATATGAATATGCATATGAGATGAATATGATCTGTGAGTCATGCAAAGCTACTCTCATAGAACCAAAAAGTAAAAATAAGGCGCTGTAAATGAGCAGAATGGAGGAGAACTCGTGTCCCCAGCTGTGGTTTCCTTTAATGGAGTTTTTCTTCTTCTCTGCAGAAACAGTGTAAGAACTGCAGCGGCGTTTTCTGTGAGAGCTGCGTGTCCAAAGAGCTGCCTTTACCTTCCTCCATTCTCCCAGAGACGGTCTGCATCGCCTGCTACTCGCTGTTACTCCAACAATACGCTTCATCACCAACATGAACCCACAATCATCACACACAGCAGAGACGCGCGAGTGTAACAATGGCACCTAAAAACCAAAAAATCCCAACTTCCTGAGACATCCTAGGAATCACTGTGTACGTGTGTGTGTGTGTACGTGTGTGTGTGTGTACGTGTGTACGCGCGCGTTTCCTTAAAATAAAAACAGCTGACGCCATTTATCTTCCTTTTCTGGTTCGTGTTGGTGATTTAGGCTTCTGTCGGCACTTTTAAGCTAAACTTGCTCTCCCTCACATGGCTGGATTTAAACAAATAAATAAAAATCATCTCATTTATGGACACTAAGTGATGAAAAGTTTAACTGACATTTTTATCCCCAGTGTTAACAGATAAAAAAGGAAAAACTGGAATTCAAGGTGTTTCGATTCAGAGATCAGGATACGGAGTTACTCGTACCTTTATGCACTTTTGTGATTAAACTGGCGTCACATTCAGGGAAAATCCTGACAAACTCGGTCAACAAAATGACCAAATGCTGTCATGTGTGTCATTACTTCCTTAAAGACTGTTTTAAATAAAATAAAAAAATTCATGCAATATATATAAAAAAAATTTTTTTTTTTTAAAAAGTTAAAGTGTTTATTTCCAGAGTGGAGCGGATTCTGGGAATTATAAACTGGAATGAAAAATCAGATCACCAAAAATCCACAACGATGTTGTGTGAGACTTAGAAGCAGTTATGATTATTCCCTGCTTTCAGAGATAAAAGATGAAAACGCTGGTATCTATTTTGTCTCTATTTGCTTAAATATGGCTGTTGGAGTATTAGCATAAATAACCAAATCCACCATAAGAGGTCAACATGCCAATTTGAGTTTCCAGTGTCGTGTGCTGGAAACTTGGACATTGATTCAAAGTCATTCACAATAAAAATCAGTGTCACCATTAAATTCTTCATCTTTGGAACTATTTTAGACGCTGAGTTTGTCTCTTGTCTTAATATTGGTAAAGCTTTAAAATTGGAGACCAATTTAAAGCCGTTCATGGAGACTCAACCTCAACAAGGAAGAAAACAGCAAGATCAGAGTTTTGATCGAAGGTTTGCACATTTCAGTCCCGGTGCTCTGTTCAGGAACAGCTGCTCCCGTCAGCGCGGGGAGCTTTAGATGCAGTGTTTCATTTTTGCAACGTTGTGTTAGTCGGCACTCGTTTCCCTTCTTTATGCTAAGCTCAGCTCGTTTCATGTAATGAGAAATAATAAATGTATTTTGCAAATGATCACCTGATTCTTAAGGTCACAAAGCTGCTTTTTCTTTCCTGCTGTTGTGTATTAGAAGTGTCATTAACAAAAAGGCTTAAAATCAGTCATGTAGCATGAAGTCACATCTGAGGCTGGTGTGTTTTAAACTGTAGCAGGTGAATCATACATTTTTAGACCGAAGGCTTTTTGCTCTGGATAAACTGAATGTGTTTCAGCACTTTTGATGCACGGCTCTGCCTGGCTGAGGTAAAGTGAAGACAGGTTTATAACTTATGTTCTGTTGATTTAAAAACTAAATCTTTATTTTTTTTTTTTGTGGCTGATGATGATTAACAGGTGAAGTGGAACAGCTTCTTGGCTTACAATAAACATGAGCATTTACAAGTGTTCGCCTCTTTCTTTCATTTTAAAGTGGAGATGCAAACCTCCAGAATAAAATCAAAAAAGCATTACAGGAATATTACATTTGATTAAATAAAGATGGACTGCTTTGTCTTTGACACCAGGAATGTTTATTCGATGTCCACGTCAGGCTGGAAAATAAATATAGGAATCCTGTGTGTCAACGTTCACCTGCAGAAGAGGAAAAAACAAAACGCGCTCAGTCAAGGCAGCTTAAGTTTTTCTCTGGAGCAGCTGGGTTACGCTCAGTAATACGTGTTTAACCTCTTTATATTTTCTAATATTAGTTTTACATGTAAAATCAGTCGATCCGTCCATGAATAAGAAACAAGAAGAGGGAAGGATCGTTGTACGGACCTCAGAGCACTTTGTCTACGACACATTTACATCCTTTCCTCTCCAAGACTTTGAGACCAAATATTTTCTCAGAAAAAGGAAACGGCACTCTGTTGGACTCTAGTAATTATTGGTTTACACAAATAGGGCCACTCCACATAACTTGGTCTCTTTTAAAACTAAATTAACTGATGGTAGATGTGTTTCCTACCTGCCGTCACCGTCTGCAACAGAGTTGAGAAATAACTCGATGTATCGCTCGCCTGAAAGAGAAGAACCAAACAAAGTCAATATGCCACCGATCAGTAAGCAGCAAAGACACGCTTTAGACATTTAGGCCAATATTATTTGGATCACAGAAAAATATATAAAGAGCAGAGAAGACTCAAATTATTCTTGTTTTTCTGATTTACGACATTATCACAGACATTCAGGAGAGAGAAAAGGGGGGCATGGGGTGTACTAGACCACATTAATTTCAATACTTTCGTAACATTTTTCATATTGAAAGAGAAACGATATCAAATACTGTGTTAATCAATTATTGTAATATTTAAACATGTAAAAACAAAAGCTTTTTTCACAATCCCATAAAAATGCACGAGGGCCATTAAGCTCGCTGACCTGAGGGTTGTTGGTTTGGACGCTGAATTATTATTAATATAACATCTGTTTTCAGCAGCACAAAAACTTGCCTCCTATTAACGTCAGAAGGTTTTCCAAGAAGACGGAGTAAAGATAACGTTTTTATGCCTTAGTTTAGATTGCATCTATATCTCATTTCATTCAAGTTTGACATTTGACTCGAGATCATTTCCAGAGTTTTGCATTTAAAAATGTTTTAAATGTAATTTTAATACGAGGCGTACGATCAAAGAGTTTATTTCGGGGTTTTGACAGATGTTGTATGCAGTTAAACTTTAAAACATTCAAGTTTCTAAAATGGAAATCAATGAGAAGTTCATTCTGAACTCATCTATGTATTATTGCTCATTTATAAGACAAAAGTATTTCTTATCCGATTACTCAATTAGTTGATAAATTACTCGATTACTAAAATAACCGACAGCTGCTGTCCTGGTAAAGAGTTGAACTAAAAGCAAAAATAAACACCGCTATGAAAAGCTCACCAACGGGCTCACCTATGTTCATCCTGTCTTTGGACATGGCGGCCACGGCGTCTCTGTGGCAGTGGAAGTAAACGTCAGCCTCTCCGCTCGGCCTGCCGTCGGGACCACATTCGATCAGGATCTTACACACGGCCAGAGGATAGAAGAACTGCGAGAGAGAAACACCGACACGTGAAATCACCAAACCCAGCTTCATTGTCTCAACACGTGAACAGCTTTACCTTCACTATGTCTTCCCCAGAAGCCTGGAAAGGAAGTCCCCTCACGTGGATGTAGTGTAGCGGTACGGTGGAGCTCTGAAGGTGAAGTGACGGAGGAGGCGAAGCAGGTGATCTGTTTTCAGGGGCTAAAACAGGACCCATTACACTGCTGTCTGTTAACCAGGCTCATGTATCATTTGGGCTTGAACTTCCACAAATGGCTGAAACATCATCAAATATTCACTGGAGCTGTTAAAGCTTGAAATGTATGTCAGAACATTCACATGACACATGCTGGGAAAGGAATGTGACAGTGACACTGAAATACATTTAATCTACACCCCCCTCCCCCGATGAGTCTTTATCAGGGTAGCAGAATTAACACGCCAGAGGGACGGGCCACTACCAGCACCTGTTGCACCGTATTGAACCCATAGAGGGCGCCAACTGCGTTGTATATGTCAGGTCATTTAAATGCTTTCTACCCTGTAAAGAACAAGAAAGTCTTTTTTTAAATATGGTTTATAACATTGAATTGGCACGTGTAAGAGTTGTCCACATGAAGAGTTTTAACCCCTCTCTGTGTTACCTGTTCGTTACATCCTAAACTTGTCTTGTCACATCTTAAGTGTCATTTATTTTCCCATAAATGTATCCGTCTACCGAATGCCGACTGATCGACAAGTAGGCTGGGATTGGGAAAGGAGCTAGAGCAGAGTTCACTGGGAAACACTGGTCAAACTAACACGTGTACACAGGCAGACGTATTTCCAGAACCATAAAACACGCTTTATTCCCACCAGAGATTTGAGGAGAGGATGTGAGGCGAGAGGGTGTTTGGCTAAATGAGACACCGAAGCCTTTGAGCCTCTTTTCAAAACAATGTTAAATATGATATTTTGCAGAGCCACATCACAAATGTTTTGTTGTAGCCACTCCTGCTGTGCTTCTTTTTATTTGTTTTATGTTTATATTCATATTTTAAGTGTAAGATTTGCACGTTTTTCCAATTCCAATTAAAATTCCTCACCACTCCTGTCCACTGACTGAGGCCTGGACTGAGACGGAAATGGACTCGTTCTCTTCCTCCAGGTCGAGTGAATCTCATCTCTTCTGCTGGGAAACACCTCGATGTATCTGCAGATATTAGAAACAGCACAAGAAGCAACAAACATGACAAAAAAATAAAAGAGGGCACTTCTTGGTCACCAGAGAAACATCCAGGTGAATTCGAGAGTCAGTGAAGCTTCCCACCTGCTCCCTATGATCTCTCGGTCTCTCTGCAGCGCTTCATCAGCTGCTTCCTGAGACGTGAACTGCACATAAGCCACTCCAGACTTTCTTCCCCTGGAGTCTGTGACCATGGTGATCCCGTTCGCCATTATCTCCAAACCTGTGAAACACAGCTTGTTAAGATAAAGTAGTTATAATTCTTTTCCCCTTTCATACTTTCCCCTTTTCAAAAGGCTCAGTGCCAGTTTTCTAACTGAAAGCCGTGTGCTCAGCTGCTCACGTTGGGAGGTGAAACAAATGAATCCTACGAATGTGATTTACCAAGTTTACCAAATCATGCATGAATTTATTAAAAAAAAAAAAAAAAAATTAAGCAGGACACTGCCAAGACAGTAAGTGATAACATTTTATTTAGCCACAGACGCTGAGAATTTTACTTTCGTTTTCTTGTCTTCAGACTAATAAGAAACCAAAATCATTACCAAGCTCTACTTACATTCAATAGCTAACATTTATTTGGGGTTTTTTGCAACTAAATCTACTGAGTTTGCACTGACAAGAGTCCCATACTGTAGCAAAACAGTGTACCTGAAAAGAAGTGGACAATGTCATCCTCAGTGCAGGTGAAGGGGAGCCCTCTGAGCAGCACCACGCCATCAGCTCCTAGAGGCTGGGTGGCTTTCTTCAGGATGACTTCAGCGTCACCGTTCGTCACTTCATACACTGAGACAGGACAGGAGAATGTGTTCTTGTGAGTTAAGCCAACATGACTGCTTCTTATTTATTATAAATAAATGTCTGTTGTCAGGACCCTGAAACTGAACTGAGTTTTCCTTCATCAGTCTTTGTCAAGGACTTCCCGTTTGGAACAAACCTTCAACGTATCGTGGGCCGAGGTACTGCCGGTGCTTCTCCAGTGCTTTGCTGACGTCCTCCTCGTGCTCCATCTCGATGAAGGCTCGTCCTGACGGCCTCCCCAGCCTGTCCAAAGTCAAGTGGATGCCTTTCACCCCATCACGTATCCTACACTCTGGTACATGGTAATTGCAAAAAATAATAATCTCATTTAATTTATTCATATACTGTGTAGTTACAAAGTAAAGGTGTGCCACTCCTCAGACTCCCACCTGAGAAGAACTGCAGAAGGTCCTGAGTGGTGCAGGACCATGGGAGACCTTTCACCTGCACGATGTAAACCTCCCTGGACTCTGGTTCTGATTCAGGATGATAGGCCGGCAGAGGTGGGTAGTCATCCTCATAGGTTCCTCCTGTCTGGAAGATGTAGAGTCAATTAAATCAATATATCAGTGTGAAATGGAAATGATCATACATGCTTGTTTTATCCACTGATACAATTTTAACTGTATGTGATTTTATATTGTAAAGGACTTTGTCACTTCTGTATTTGCATCTTTCTGGTCACTGCTAGGTTAGGTCCTACCTGCACCACGATCAACTGTATTATATGAAAGAGATGCTGCAGTGAAAAAAAATTAAAGGAACATTTTTGAGAAAGAAACAGTGGTGAAAGAAACAGTGGTGAAAGAAACAGTGGTGAAAGAAACAGTGGTGAAAGAAACAGTGGTGAAAGAAACAGTGGTGGTAGACGTCATTTGGATGAGTGACAAAACGTTTCTCCCAATGAAAACTCTACGTTAAGATGACCAGAATCAGTCTTTTGGGGTTCTGTACATACAGTTTTTATACCCCTTTTAGTGAAAGGGAAATGAAAGTTAATTTAGATAATGCTTCAGGATAGCTGCCCAAATAAGTGCCTGGATGTGTTTCAATGACAACGACATGCTGCTAGAAGGACCATGTAGTCATCAATTCAAGTTGATGCTGCTCTTCAGTAACACCTGTCAAATCCCACAATTATAGCAGCTTTATAGTGACTAGGAGTCGGAAAGCAGCCACGAAAGCTCAGGTAGAATAATTGTATGTACTGTAGAAGGCAGGTGGTAAACCTCAGAACCAGCTCAGGTCAACTGACCATAGCCAGACCACAGAGAAATAGCTCACATTAGAAATTACTTATTTTTTTTTTCTGACAGTCATTTCCTCCACTGCTCTCCTACGCCAGAACTAAGGAACCCCCACACTAGCCCCTGCCAGAGTGGGTTTGGTACAAGTGCTTTCCTTTACATGAACAGGGATATTTCTGTCCTGGAGTTTCGCATATAAGGGACACATTTCTAGATGAAAGTTGATAAAAAGCACGAATTTAAGTGTCTGATGCTCCCCAACCAAAACATACGCCCGTGGCGTTAATAAACTCTTCTAGAAGCATCTTCAGAGCAGTTTTAAAGTATCTTCTCGGTCTTTAACCGTCTCTAGTTGCCTCTGTGACCCAAACACATGCTAAACCACGCGGGGCTGCTCTGAGACTAACCTTAGTACAGAAGCGGCTCTGGCTGCTTCTAACTGCGGGCTGCAGCTCGTACAGTCTCTGGAGACAGGCTGTCCGGGCCGCCGAAGTCAAAGTTCGCTGCTGAGTGAAGCCGCACATGCGTGAAGCTGTCGGTACCGTTAGCTGTCTGACTGCGACACACCGCCGCAGTAAAAACCACAGAGATTTACCGCTGCAGGACATCATAGCCGAACCAAGCCGGAAGTCAGGTCAATAACAGACAGTTTGTTCTGCAAAAGAAATGAGGCGCCCGGACGGTGTGAGACCGGGTTTCTCTTAATGTAGTCGGTTAGCTTAGCTAACTACCGGCTTAGCATCACGATAACCTGTAAATGAACACACTCACGTGGGTCGGTGACAGTCAAGGGCAGCGCTCGAGAATGTGAAAATGATAGTTAAGTTTCACATTCTCAATATCCGGTTTGGATTTTCACAATAAAGGTCTATTTCAAGGGCAGGACGCTGCTCTTTCGACATAATTCTATTGTATGGTTAAAAAAATCTTCAGCTTTGGTTTACTTTTTCTTAGTTTCAATATGGTATCTGACAGGAGAACCTTTTTTTAGAAATCACAATAGAAATTACGACATGAATGCAGCTTTCAGAAAGCAGTTGACTTGGCCATGTGGACATCTCAAGTCTTTATTTTATTATTTGTGTTAGTGGATTTTATAAGTATAATAATCTGGCTAATAACTGTTACAACTGTTGTTGTGTTTTTATTATTATTTTTATTTTTTTCAAAATGTTTTTATTTTTTAATTAAATGTTATTCATATAGCACTAATGCACAACGGAATCACCTTAAAGCACTTCATGCTTTACGTTAATGACGTTAAAAATAATAGAGAGAAACAACCATAAACTCCCCCTATTAGCAATACTTGGTGAAGGTGGGGAGGATAAGCACACTTTTATCAGGAAGAAAACTCTGGCAGAACCAGGTTTTGGTCAGTTGTGATGCAGCAGTAAAAATTTTAAAATATTAAAATAATATTTGTCATCATTCATGACTGAATTATAGAAAAACAAGTGCAAGGGATGATTAACATATTAGTAAGACCTGCTGTGATGTATGGTTAGGAGATGGTGGCACAACTGAGTGGCAGAGCTGAAAATGCTCAGGTCAAATAATCTAGAGACCACAGAGGAGATTCAAGGATGTAGTGAGAACATGCAGAGGGCTGGCGGCACACAGAGGAGGATGCCAAGGAGAGGATGAGATGGAGGCAAGTGACCCACTGTCGTGTCCCCTAAAGGGAGCAGCCCAGATAAGAAGAACAAAACATCCTTGATAATTAAGCAGATCTGATATCTTTTAAATGTTTTATTGCTTGCTTATGTATGTATTTATTTATTTAACTTTATTTTTAGATTCTTTCACATGGATTGGTTGTGATGGGTGCAAACTGCTAAAGACTGTGTGACAACAGATTCATCAGTAGTTATACAAATGTGCCACAAAAATAGAAGCAGGATTTTTCACATTTATATTTGTCATTATACATGAATATTGCTGTGGTTATTTAAAGACAGTTCATTTCCGCCTTAGATATTAAATAAGAGTTTGTTGATCAGAGAAGCAGACTGGGCTTCTTTTGTTTTAGTGGGCCAAAATGGACGGGATGTTATTGTGAACTACTGCAAACTT